AAGTGTTACACACAATGCTACAAATGTGTTTAGTGTTATTTCTATGCCTTTATTTATTAAATAATAATATCAGTTGTTTGTCAGCCTTGTATCATCCCTCATCATGTTCTTCCATCAACTATCTCCACTTGGCATGTATAATGACAGCACCAGGTTCTCTGTTGGTGCTTTGAAATCACTTGGTACATTGGCAAGGAAAGTGGATCTTTGACTGTAAACTCCTTTGAGTAGCAACTGTGTTTGTGTAAAACATGTTCTGCATGTCTCCGATACTGCATAAATCATGTGTGGTATTATGAACATAGTAAAAATAATAGATAAGTATACATTGAGAACCAACTAAATTCAATTTCCTGTAGGTCACTGAAGAGTAACAACCTTGTCTTTCTAAACCAGTGGTGTCAAACATGGCCAGTGGGCCAGATCCAGCCTGCAGAACCACCCTGTCCAGCCTAATGGGCTACCAGCGAGTCATTGGATATTGAGGCCCTTTGCCACCTCGGGCAGTGGCAGTGAGCGGTGAATTTGGCTCACTACCACTGCTGGCAGACCTCTGCCACAGGGCCTCTCACTGCCCCCAGATCCTTTGCTGCCATCTCTGCTACTGCCAGATCCACCACTGATAGCCATGGCAGCCACATGCGGCTGCTGTGTGCCCCAGAGTCCAGATTTGGCCCAGGGCTCCGGGTGTGTTTGGACACCTCTCTTCTAAACTGATTCTTAACAGCCAAACTCTTGAGTGAAGCAAAGCACTTGAAGCTCCTCTTGTAGTCAGTAAAGTACAAAATGGATAATCTAGTGGAGACATACTGCATATCCTGTATCCCATGAGCCATTTAGTTGTCCCCCCATCATTTAATATTTAATGATTTAAAAGCACTGGAAACAGTAAAAATGCAACTAGTTTAGTTCTGTCCAGGTGTATTGTATGCATTTCTTTGGCTGTATTGGTTTCCATGGAAACCAAGGCAAGATGAAACGTGACTGGCTGTCCTCACAGATTGCCTGTCAGGGTAATAGGTAGAATTTTAGGAGTTCAGACCGGTTCATGCAAGGCAGCAAAAGTGAAGATATGCCTGTTACAGCTTCTATCGCAAATAGGAAGAAAGATACTATGCTGAATTAAGCCATGATGTTTTTTAATACTTAAATTAACCCACTAGTTTGCCAGATAAGTGGAAAGTAGGCGATAACTTCCCTCAATAGATTACGGTTATAAAATGCTTTATGAAGCCCTATGCCCTACTAGGGTAGCCATGATATAAATAAAAGAGATCAAGATCCAGAGGGTTGAAAATGTTAGTATTATGCTCTGAAATTATTTCCTACTGTTATGGTCTTTGGTGTATGGCATATGAAGCTCTACATTTCTAAATTAAAAAATAACCAGACTACAATTAATTCTGATGAAGTGTGTTTTAGATGTGTATGTATTATTTATCAGAAAAAATAAACAAGAGACTGTATAAATTTGTAAAAGGCAATAGAGGCTTAAATTACATAAATTTCATGTTTTGTTCTACTGACAGCTTAATAATATGCCACTGAAAACTTAAAAATAGCAAAGGGGGAGTTAACTTGGTGAGTTATATATTAATTTTGAATATGCCGGAAGTCCAGCACCACTAAATTTATGCATCACTGTGTACCCAGATGTCTTATACATTATGTATGAGTAAACGTGACTATATACATCCGTAAAAAGCAAATACTAGTAATAAATCTTAACTACAAGATTATTTCATATGATCTACACACTTACATGAGTGCTTAACTTTAAACGAGTGGCCTGTTTGATTTTATACGGGATTAAAGCCCGTCCCTGTACAGTGAAGGCAGATGCTGGTGCACATTAATAATGGATTTGGACTGTAAAGCTTTGTAGAATATTTTGGCTTGGAAGGTCAGTCCATGCCTGGTGATGGCAGTTGTTCAGTTTACTGACAACTTTTTCAGAATACTTAACTGCAAGTCTGGAATTCTGTCCTGCCTCATGTTTCTGTCTGAGTGAAGAATAACAGAGTATAACAGAATGGCAAAGAAACAGCCTGTAGGAAATAAGTCATTTCCACTCATGTAAAAGAAAACAGAGTACAGTTTTGCTACAAACAATTAACAGCTCTGCAGTTCAGTTATTTGACTTAATAACCAGTTGTTCAGAAACTATTGGTTTTCCAAGGTAATGAATGCAGTATTGAAATTTAAACAAAAAGTAAACAGCTGTGTCAGGAAAACAAATAGGAAAACAGTGCATGATTAACTATTCCTCTTTTTTTTTTTTTAAATGTAAGTAATTTGGTTTTAAAATGAAGTGCTACAGTAAGAGCTCACTCTCCAGGTTC